TGTTAGAGTTGAGGGGGGGGGGGGGGGGGGGGGAGCGAAGGGGAGAGGAGAAAAGAGAAACAATTGTTTCTTTTAAAATAAAACAAAGATCTTCAGAAGTGTAAGCTCTCTTACATCCTATCCTGAGCTGCTTCCTTTAAGCTTTTCATTGACAACTTTCCACAATGAAATTGGTTTTTTATTCCCCAATGAAACCAAGTTGCTGGATATATCATTTTTCAAATGTGAAAAAAAATCCCAAACACCATTGCGTACAGAGACCTTACATGCTTTGTGAATTCCTCTCGTAATAATTCTGTAGGATTTCACCATGGGTCTGTTTTTTCCAATAAGAAACAGACTTGGCTCTATCAGTTAATACTAGAAAGCTACTCATAACAAGGGAAGAGTTCATACATTAAACATGTCCTAGAAGGAGACTTTAAAATCTGTAAGTCCAATCTCTGGATGAAAGTCGGATGTACCTTTCCTTACCTCATTTACCCCAGAAGACAAGCATGAAACAAGCATTAGTAAAATAAGCCATTAATAACTGATAACCAGCAACACTAGACTGAACTAACAGGCACACTTAGGTATTTTTTAGATGTAGCAGGCAGTGTTTTCTTCTATGCTACTAATTTAAGACAACAGTCTATTCTCATTATTAAAACTAAACTTTCAGTATGTCTTAAAGGTCTTGAGTATCTAATCCTTTACTGAAAATACCTCAAATACATGTAATATACATTCACATTCACCTAAGTTCAAACGAAGTAACCTGCAAACAAAATTTTTGACCATTACTCTCCTCTGCCTAATGAGAAATAAGTTTGTCAGTCTTTTCCCCCAGCAGCTACCCTCTCACTCTATTTGGCCCCTATTTGGGGTTTAAAACCTGATCCAGTCCTCTTAAGAGTCACCATAATACTTCATAAACTAGTTCCACCCAATATTTCTACCTAAAATAAATCAAACAAGAAGTCAGACCTGATGTGTACACACTCCAAACGGGAATTTTGATGTTAAAAAACAAATTCAACTGTTTTGAATAGCGTATTTCTTACCAAGTGCAAACTGAAGCACTTTTGAGTTATACTGAAATAACGGAGAGAGAAACTAAGAGCTATAAGGCAAGGGACAACAGATGTTTCAGGAGTGAGATTTGAAAAAAGAAAAGCAGATGACGTGGAGACACACATGGAAACCAGTCTAGCTGGCATGAACTGCAGAAACAAAGACTCTTGCATTAACTCTGATGAAATAAGAGTTTCAGTAATTCAGTGCCAGACCAAGATAGGGAGCAGGCGTAGGGAGAGTGAAACAAGAATTTTATTTGAAACAGCTATCATACAATTTGGTTGCAACTTCGGTGGAAGTTTCTAGGCAATCTTTCTGCATAATAGCAAAAATTGAACAAAGCTAAAAATCACTACTATGACCTCTTAAAATAAGTTTTTAGCCTTTTCACTCATATTGTGAAGAAAACAAGATGGGTAACAGAGTTTGATCCTCTGATGTAAAGTAATTTTTATTATCTAAATTTCAGTGACAAATTTCTTAGTCAGTGTTTTCTGGACCTTCCCATAAAACATATGGATTTCACTCTGCAACAGAGCGCAAGGGCTGTAAACACATATATGTAACTGAAGTATTTTGATTCCCAAGCTTTTAAATTGTATATCAGAAAGAAGAAATTACTAAAGACAAAGATAACAGGTTTATTTAGTGCTGGAGTATTATCAGAATATTTTTTAAGAGATTGGTCAGTTTTTCAGAAGACAAACTATTAGGGATATTCTACTGGATAACACTTTTAAAGAAAGGATAACGAGAAAGTCCGTCTCTTCCAGGATTCTGATTAGAATTTGACTCACAAGGCCCTTGCTCTCATACATTTTCTGAGCAACTTATCTAAATGAGTTAGTTTTAGTCCATTCTCCAGCAAATAGATACTATCATCAGCCTTCCTGCATAACACAGATATGATGCATGTTTGCAAGTCTTCAGTTAAACTATTTTTCAAGTGGCTTATTTGAAAGACGCATATGTTTCCCTGGCTAGCAGAGATAAAGCCTTTAGGAGCATGTCAAACACCCTTGAGTACAGTGCAGTGACACCTGCTCCAGCAGAAATCATCAGATTAAAAACAGTGGAAATCTCTGTCAGTGTACTACATTAAATAATCCCAGCACTGTGCCAAGGTAGTATTGTTCATGATGTTGCATGGATATCCTATCCTGAATCAGCATTATGTGACTTAGTAACTCTTCATCACAATTTTATGGTATAGTAGTGCTTCCAATCTGTCAGTGGAGAAAGCAAGCTAAGCATTCCCCCCCCCCAAGGCTGTCCTAACAACAATGCAAAAGCAAAATAGTGACCGAAATCAAGTGTCACAGAAAACTCTACAGGCAAACTAGTTTCAATTTAATATTTTCTGAATGTTCTTACTGACTTTATACTTTCTGAAGATTGTATTTTACTTTGCATATTGCATGTTTTATTACTGGGAGCCTGCTTCTACGGCTGCTATGTGCGTAAAACTAAAACATTACAGAAATGCGCATCATGCTAAGAAAATGCGGTGACATGCTTCAAATCAGATACTGAACACATTTCTTCTACTTGCACTAACCTCAGAATCCATTCCTTGCATTTCATTCTTTTCCATTTGAAACTGCACAAAGTCATCAATAACATGAAACAGTTCAGGAGAGACAGCTTTGAAGTACTTGTGGTAGTCATACTTTACAGCTAATGATGCAAAAATGGTATTATTGACTAGAGCAGATCGTAGGTCAGTAAGAACTCCTGGAGAGTGTTGCCGTGGGTCTTCATAAAGGTGCTTGGTTATGAGGTAGTCCAAAATTGCATCTCCCAGGAATTCTAAGCGCTGGTAACAATCTTAAAGCATTGGAAATAGAAGAACGTACAACAACACAATTAAGTTTAACACACACATTCTTTCCAGGCCTTTCTGGATAGGAGGTTTGGTACACTGCCATCTAAATTCCACAAACTAACCAATGCTCAGAGAAGACAATCTGTTTTTTAGAACACGTATCTTTGTGTTTAAAGAGATTGCTATTGAATTAGTAAAAAAAAAAAAAAAAAAAAAAAAAAAAAAAAAAAAAAAAGAAGTATTGCTATTGAATTAGTAAAAAAAAAAAAAAAAAAAAAAAAAAAAAATCAGAAAAAACAGAAGTTGTATCTAATAATAAAGCCACTTTTGAACCCAATGTTAATTTGTCAGGCTAGCAAAACACTTGTGTTTATAATCAATTAATGCTTTTACTCATGATCTTCACATTGTGCTGAGAAACATCAAAAAAGTAAAATCAAGAGATTCCACCAGCAGGCTGATCTGAAAACAGTAACAAATAAACCTCCAAAAAATTAATAAAGAAATCAATGCATTAAAAGCAGGGGGAACATACAATCTGAGATTTTTATCTAATTTGCCACACATTTAGATCTCTCAAAAAGCATCGAACAAAGATTCCCATTCAGAATGGGAGTTTTAAACTGGAAACTAAAATTGCCAAGCCTTTGCAGTTTGGAAAATTGACAGGGGACACGGGAATGGAGAGCTATGGAGGTCTATTTTTAGACTATAAACAAAAGCAAAAAACCCTCTTGAAAGCAAATGGGGATAGGTGAGTACAGAAGGAAGGAAGACAAAATTACTACAAAAATAACGTGAGTGTGAAATGGCAAGTACTAAATTGCTTTTATAGCAGCTGAACCTAAGATGCCGCCAGAGCTCAACCTCTAGCTAATTCTTAAGAGAAAAGTAACAGAAATTCACAATTGTCTTGCTTGGTAAATAGAAATGGAATCAAAAGTTTCTGCTACCAACAACGTAATTTCATCTAGGCACTATGCCTCAACTTTTCTGTTTGTTAGTATACATATAAAAAGGAATCATCTACCTTCTGTATGTTTTGTGACATATTTGTAAAAAGTAAATATATACATATATATATATGTGGGTAATATCACCTAGAATGAAAAACCAAACCAGCATTTCAGTGTTTTGTCAGAACTGTTTCTCAATGTACTAACATTTCAAAATGACTTATTTAATTAAAGCAGAGCTTTCTTACTTCTTGGAATAAGGAACCAATTCACTATGGGGAAAAATTCAGACTGCTGACTGCACAGGAATTTGCCATTCACTTCAAATAGGGTTGGAATTTTACCATGGTTTGTTTTTAATTGCATATTATCATAGGAAAATATTTAAAGTTTTAGAATGAACGAATACTAAATTAATTAGTATAAGCAAAAAATTCAAGAAGAATACAGAAATACAAATTTGTACTGCTGTAAAATCTTTTATGAGATCATGTACAGAAACATTAAGCAGTTAACCTGAAATTAATATTTAGTCTGATTTAGTCAACTGCTTCAAACTTTGATTTTAAATATTTACAGAGTAAAATGCCTAGACTTAAATTAAGCCTTCCAATTCACAACTTCAAACAGAAGTCTCCATATTTTGCTATCCTATAGACTATTCAGCTAATAAAAATTGTATAGTCTACTTTTAATCTTCAGAAGTACAGTCAAAGGGTAATATTCTTGGGATTAAATTATGGGACAAATTTGCTAAATATATTTGCAAAACATGATAGCTACTTCTAGAAGTACACTGCAGTTTTCCAGAGTTCTACAATAACTGATTTCAGCTAAATGAGGACCTAATGTCAGTCATATACAACTAGTGATACAGCAGAGATGAAAAATGCTGCTCTTTCCCAAAACTTGGCTAGGCTTCAGTAAATCTATCTGTATCAAGTCAAAATATGAATAATCATTGAGACACAGCTTCAACAAGTATCCCCCTCTAAATAAGGGGCAAGATATTCTTTTCTAAGATTTTGTATTCAGAAGCTATTGACTTCTTAAAGTACCACGTGATGTCTAAAAAAAGACTACGTATCGGAACACAACATATACTGCTTCTCTTACATTTACAATAGGGGAAAAAAACCCTAGTTTCTTTAAGACAACTTACCAGTAATGGTATTATAATGGTATGAGGCATGAGTAAATGCCTGAAGAAGATAAGCCTTGTTCTTAAAACTGTAGTTTATTTTCTTCTCAAAGTTTTCAAAACCAGAAATAAGGTGATTTAGGGTTTTTTCAGCATCTGGGTGATCAAACATACACCTCGGTGGAATCTTCAAACAGCCATACTCCAGGTCTTTATACAGAGAAGACTCTGAATTAGCTACAGAAGCAGAAACAGAGTTTGGTGAAAGATTTTTCTGCTCACTGTTACAATTCTCTCTGGTAGCACACGAAGTGCCTTCCCAATCAGTCTTTTTAATTACAGGGAGCACCTTCAGCCCCAATGAACACAGGAAAAGCTGAGCAGCTCTTTCACCACAGCTGGTCAGATAGCAGCCCAACAGGGCTTCCACACAGTCTGCAATGCTTTTGTCAGCAATACACTGCTCTGTATGCAAGTCATATGAGATAGACTGTTTTCCTGCATCAACACCACAGTTTTCTTCTGATGGATTCCAGAAGCCCACTACAAAATCATCCTCTTCAACAGCCTTGCTAGGATCCAGATAGCACATAGCATCCCAAGAGCTATAGTCAAAATCATCAAAATCTGATGAAAAGTGAACATTACCCAGGGATGACTTTTTGGGTGCTTTCCATTCATAGTTTGAATCAGTGGTTGAAAAGTGTGAGAGAGAAATTTTCTTCACAAAAGCCCCTGATCCCATTAACATATTATCAATGAATTTGATATGCTCCTGATCATACTCCAGAAAATCATCTTCAAAGTCTGCTTCTTCCTTGGGTAACCTCCACATTAGGTCTTCATCCTCTTCATCATCATCATAATCATCAAGTTTACCATTAGCCAACAAGTTCTCCTTTGTCTATGAAAGAACACAAAAAAATATGGTACTGAAGAGGGAAATGAGAAACCTTTATTCCAGAACTGTCATAAGAGTAAGATTTGAGTAGTGTCTGCTAATAAGACGACTAATTTTTAAATTAGTGTTCCTAATTACATTGTCTGATCAGATGTACAATACAACCTCAAGTAACACTAGCATTCTAAGACTAGAATAATTGTCTTGGAGTACAAAACCTTTATCACTAACCTGTAATAGCGTATGTTCTACAAACATATAACACATGCTGCATTTCACAGGAACTCATGCTTATACTTGAATGTGATGCACATACAATTAATTTTAAAACCATTAAACATTATATACTTGCATGCCAAAGTAAACAAAAGAAAAAAGTCTAAATTAACAAATTTAGAGAAGTACAAGAAACAGTTTTGGTTGCATCCTTCTCTCTAGCTGCTAAGTAAGGCTACTACAAATGTTTAATCAACGTAACCAAAGATTCTTTCTACATCCTTCTATGGCAAGTACTAAGGGGCTTGCTGGGTTTACTATAGTCACAATCATGATAATCTCAGGTTTGGGACACAAACGGAAAACGCATTCAGTGAAACAACTGTAAGAACTTCTTTACCCTAGTCCTTCAATAATCATCACTTGAAGCAGCAAAATACATTGATCTATGCTCTCAAACGGTTAGCTGCAAATTAATTCAGTCTACATGGCAAACTAGTAGAAAGTAAGTTTAGTGAATTAGTGCAGGTGATTTTTATATTACAGATCAAAAATGAGTCTAATACCAGTTAGTTGGCAAGAAGCTAATGCTTATGTGGGTGACAGTCTTTACTGCATGTGTTGGGGATTTAGTAAGTGATCTTGCTGCTTATTAGATGTGAGATATAGGCCAATTTTTGGTTGTCTAAGAATTATTAACTTGCACTGTGGTTCTTAATTTTAACAAATATTGAAACCTCTCTAGTTTGTCATACATTTAGTATTACCAGGATTTCAATATAGCAGGTCTAAAAATGGAGAATCAGAAAAAATGGCACACTTCTATAATAGAGGTTTTTGTTGTTTGTTTGTTTTTAAACTGAATATTAACATATACATTAAATCATCAAGTAGGACAATAACTCAATGCAAAGGCAACTAGTATTAATCCTATCCTTTAAATGAGTACATATTTGTTTAAACTTTTGGGTTTTTTCACACTATACTTAACAGCCTTAACTAATTAAAAGAAAAGTTAAAGTTGTCACCAATTTTCTAATACTTACATACCTACCCACAACAGTAAAACTAATGACGTCTCATGTCTTTTCCCTGCTCATATTGAGCAAATTGGTATGGCTTGATGTAAATTATAAATTGAACACAGATATGCCCAAGCTATACAGTGCTCTACAATTTGCCATGGCCCCAATCCAGGAAAGCACTTAAACATATTAGCTAAATGCACAAGTAGTCTTCCTAACATCAAAAGGACTATTCACAGGCTCAACCCAGCATCACTGATGTCAGTGGGAATTCTGCCACTGAATTTGATAGGAGCAAGATCAGATTCAAAGTGCTTTTCTGGATTGGGTCCTGAAAGCCAACACCATTTTGAATCAAGTGAAACAGCCTATATCTGCCCTCAATCTATGTATGTCATATTGTAGGTCTCAGTCACTTAATCTTGCAAATCTGTGAACCAGATGCTACCACTGGGGACCTCTCCCTTTGGGCCAAATGCACAACCCTTTAGAGGTGTGGATGGGTGGCAGCCGTAAGGTGCACTAGACAGCACTCAAAACCATCTAAGGATCAAACAGATCACGACGTTCCTCATCAGGATGGGCAGGCTTAGTCAGGTTTACTAATGAGAGGAGAGGAAAAAAAGTGGCTGTAGAAATTGATAGTTTAGACATTTTGCTGGAAGAATTTCTGCTGCTGTAATTACCCATCTCACATATACACAGCAGGGATTTCTGTGATTGATCAGAAAGAGATAGCAGAACTTGATTTGAAAGTTATTTTGGATACTAGTAGCAGTATAATGCTCAGAGTAAGACTAATTTAACCAGTCCCAACTAGAGCTAGTGCTGATTTTTTCTTGTTACACACCTTCTGTAGTATCTGTCACTGAAATAAAAACACACTCTCTGAATGAGACATACCTATACGGACGATTCAAAACAGATTTCGGTGTCTGTTTTCACAAAGATTTAACAAATGATAAATTCCATTTTTACTACAACTTCATTCACAAGTTTCTTAAAATCATTTTAATTAGCAGGACAGCTACATGAACTACCCTAACATTGTCTGCACTTCGCTTCTTGTATTAAAAAAAAAAAATTTAAGTGATGAGAACGAACAGCAGGTAAAGGAGCCAGGAAGCAATTCTGATAGTTGATATTTTTCATCATTAGACAGCATTTAAAAACTAAACCAACAATGAACCCCAGAAGAAAGAACCTTTTCTTAAAGAATACCTGATTGATTTTGAATAAGTTATGGCTACTTACAAGCTGAAGATAAATACATGTAAGTGCTTTTCATGCTTTTTGGAAATCAGCTATTTGATCAAATGAACAAAGGAAAAATCTTTCCCCTTAATAAAGCCTGATAACACACACACACAAAAAAAATCAACATTTGACTAGGATGTTTTAGTAATAATTTGTCATAATGACATGAGATTTCTAGCCTCAGTCATAGACCATCAGCCCATGGATGGAGAATGAAGTTTACATCCAAGAAAGCAAAATATCTACTTGGCACAAAAACCCTACTACTTAGTTGCATTACTGTCTGCATTTTGGTCTAAAATTGTGTGTTCTATTCACAAATAAACAGTGACTAGCAAAGAGGAAGAGGCCACTGAAAAGTTACGGACAACTGAAAGCTTTTTAAAAGCAATGATTAGCTCCTGTCCCAAATGCGCTATTTTATTTTTAGAAAGGTATAGCACTAAGTCTCTTTGAAATGAAGTCTTGGCACAATACAGAACCACAATAATCAGGTTGTTTTATTCTGCAATAAACATTTATTTGCACAGTACATCTACCTAACAGTCCTCTCATGTGCCCTCTGGTGGTTCTACAATCCGAGTGTGGTCTTCAGAGTTGGGAAAAAGAAAAAAATCACTCCACCCCCTTCCCCCAACCTCAAAACCGGTCTCAAACACTTAAAAAGATTACGTTACTGACTGCTGTGATCAGTGATATTTCTTATACATGCATTTCTACTCTCGACATACAATGAGTTTAGTCAGAAAATAATTTGAATTGTTCCTCATTAAGATTTGTAATTCTGAAGCTTTTGGTGATAGACAGTGAGGGTGTTTAAGCCAGCACTGTATTTTGGATGAGAAGTAGCTCTCAGTCATACCCATGGTGTGGCTAAGAGCAACCAATATTGAACATTTTCTCAAGCCAGTTCTAATCTTCATTCTGCCTCAGCGCTATGAAAAACAGCAACTCCTTTTCATATATTCTATAAAGGTGATTTTATTTATTAAATAAATATTCATTATTTACCTGTTTATTATTTATAATTTATAAATATTATGTATCATTTATAAATATTATTATTTATTACTTATTAAAAAGCAGACCATCTTCTGCCTATACATATTACAGAAAAAAACAGTAATGATAATTCTGTTTAAAATTTCCAAGAGAAATTTCAGAAAAACTCCTGAGACCATGCTAACTACAAGCAAAAAAGTTTTTCTTCCCTGCTTTTCCATTAATATATACACTCATTACTGGATGATGTTCAGTAAATTTCCTTACTTCAGGTTCTATTCAGGATCAGTTTTCCTCTCATTTTCCATAAGTTACAGTGAAGTTTTAGAAAGAAAACAAAGATACAGATTTACTTTTTTTTTGCTGAAAACATACCAAAATATCTGAGAGGTGGGAGGAGGTAGGGGTGAGAATACAGACACGCAAATAATTATTCCTCATTATAGTTAAATAAAAGTCTTACCATTTCATCTTTCTCCCACTTATCAGTGTTGCTCTTGTCCTGGTTTACTATGTAACCAGGAGGAAGCCAATTGACCGGGGGATCAAAAATCGATACCACCATACGACTAGGCAGTCCTTTCTTTTTTCCAAGGCGATACAAGTTGCAGTTGCTGACCTTCAAGGAAAACATACTGATAAACCTCTGGTCATACATTCACATAAAATTACGTTAAAATGCAAAAGGAGCAAACCAATTTTACATGTCAAGCCAGATTTTGTACCATTATGCATCTTCTCTAGTTCTCAAAACAGACTTCATAATTATAGAAAAACAAAACCCAACCCACAGCAAGGTACATATTGATTTATTTATTTTAAGGCCAAGCATATTAGGTGTGACAGTTTCAGTTAAAGAAATCTGATATTACGTTAAAATGCAAAAGGAGCAAACCAATTTTACATGTCAAGCCAGATTTTGTACCATTATGCATCTTCTCTAGTTCTCAAAAGGGAGCTCAGCTTTCTTAATATAGGACAACCAATCCACAGCAAGGTACATATTGATTTATTTATTTTAAGGCCAAGCATATTAGGTGTGACAGTTTCAGTTAAAGAAATCTGATAGATTAAATTTTCTTTGCAAAACAAAATTGCTACTTTTAAAATAACAGTAAACATAACCTTTATAAGTGTCATTAATTAGCAGTATTAATAATCAACATTCAGACTAGATTTGGAATGAAAAATGATTGCTATTATGGGTAGATTGACCTAAACCTTGGCAGTAGAAAGTGTTAAAACAGTTCTGTATAACATCTGGATTATGACTTAATAAGATTTGTTGTTTTGATAGCCTCTAAATTATTTTAAATATTTGAAAGGGAAGGGAGAAAAGCACTCTCACATACACAAACATACTTCCTTTTCCTTTTTAACTATCAACTTCTGATCTTTGTTTCTCATTTTAAACACCCTTTCCATGTTTCAAGTCTTGAAATTTGAACTTGAATATTCAATCACTTCCTTTATTTGAACTGTGCAATTTATTTAGCCCTCCTTATTTTCCAAGATTAAACTACTCAATCATTTAATTGTCAGAGTGATGCATTTTATTAGAGGCAGACAACCAAATCCTTAGCATTTAATTCAAGTTATCACATTATGTGGGGAAAAAACCCCCAAACAAAACAAACTTTCACATGATTGATTATTCCAGAATTTAAACAGCAGCAGAACTGAAGACTCTGCTTACTACTGTTTACATTTACTTTAAAATACTTTCAAAAGTTTTGATGTAACAGTTCTGTAAGATTTTTTGTTGTTTCATTTTTAGTGTTCCTGTAAGATCATGCTAAAAGTTTTCAAGGAAAGTAACTTATTGAGGAAACAAAGGAAAGGTCAAATAAAGCTACAACCTAAGGCTCTACGCTGCTAACTCTCACGCCTTCATTCAAGCACTCTTGTTAAAGAGTTTCTACTCAATACAGCTCTAGTGTTTCAGTCCAAACATCCTCACTAACCCAGAACTTTTAGTTCTGTTCAGTCCTGTCCTTTCTTAGGCTGGTAATCAGCTGGTGTAGATTTCAAAGTGAACTGCAGGAAACAATTTTAATCAATCACAGTTATGGCAACATTAATCCTGTAGTCCTGTATTTTTATTCCTAATATGCATGCTACCCAATGTATAATCAGCAAAGCTGTGGAATTAAATCAACCTGTTGCCATTCAATCTTCTAGTGAAATTTTTATATATATTGCTTGTTACAGCATGCCTTTTACATAATATCATTAGATTGTTACTACTTACTTTTTTGCTTCTCATATATGACAGTCGTCCCTCATGAGCATCAGGGTAAGTGCAAAACAAGTATGTAGTGATGGCATGCTTTAAAAATGAATCACCAAGCATTTCTAGCCGCTCCAGATTAAATCCATCACTAGCATTTGAAAGAGTCAAAGCTTGAAGAATGAGACCAGGATTAGGACCGAGAGTTTTTGAGGAGTACCCACTGGAAGGGCTCTTTTCAGAATCTGCTCTGTCTTTCGAAAGATTAATAGCTTTTGAAGTACTGGTGGTCACTGCCATTTTGGGGCATCCATCTGAGGTAGATCTGTTAGCATTTCCATCAAGGTATTTATTACTCAGTAGAGTACATTCATTGCTGGGCTTCGGCTGGTTCTCACTGCTGTATAAATTCTGAATGGGGTATGAGGTAGTTGGTTGTACAGGTATTTCCTGCCTGCAGTAATTCAGCTGATTTCCTTGGCAAAAGTCTCTGTTAACTAAATCACAATTGCCATTGGCAAGATTTTTATTATAAGAAACACCATTAATTGCTGCAAGTTCTGCCGAGACATCAATTTGAAGTTTACTGGGTGACTCATTGAGCAATGTTCTGTAACTCACAGACATTTGGTCATGGTTTTCTGCAGAAGAGGTTCTATTAGCACCTTGATGTGCAGCATTTTCAGGGACTACAATTGTGCTGTGCTTACAGTAATTTTCGTTCTCTGCTAAAGAGGAGTTGGGAATAGAAATGAAGGATTTGCTGTCAATAGACTTTTTCCATCCGAAGTCCAAGTTAGGATATCTGTAAAGATACATGCTGATTTTGTTAAAAAAATATTACCACAAGACAAGAAGACTCTGTATGCACATACATGTTTAAAAAAGCCACATTCTTCCGGAAAGAGCAGTGACTGCAGCATCTAACTTCACCACTCACAATCAAGTCTTTTTAAACTATGTTTCACTGAACACTGACATGAGTTAAACAAAGGGTATCAGTTTTAAATTCATGCAGTAACGTTTAAGTTTTCACCTTGTTTTCCAATGAAGTCAGATATCATATTGAAAAATACATGCCTGAAATCTGCAGGAAGTGATTTAACCCCTACACCAGCATCAGTGGCTGTTTGAGCTCTTAGTTCCTCTGCTGTCAAAAGGCAGTGCAAGCGATAAAGTATGCTGGGGAGGCAAACTGCTTTTCTCCACAATGATGCTGGAATAGGATGTATAGCACAGAGCTCTGGAACCAGTATCTGGGGAGAGGAGGAAGGAAGAAAGGAATTTTACCTGTAAAGGTAGTCGTCAGATCACTGTTAAGAGAGAGGCAACTTGAATGAGATACTTCTATTTTACCTGCTTATTCTGCAAACTTTCCCACTTTGCTTTCCTCTTCTCAGCACTGCTTAGTGGAAGTGCTTTCCCCTTCTGATTCAAATGGCGAGGAGTCAAAAGATTAAGTCTAAAAACCACGTGAAAATACTTTAAGTACATAATTAATGAATAGAACTTACTAGCCTAAACTTTCTAAAGCGATGACTTATGCTTAGTATTCAACCTTAACGCATTGTGAAGTGACAGCAGAGTTACCTCTGGAAAAAAAATGGACTCAAGTTACAGTTGTTATAACATAAGTTAAGTACCCCTCAAGAGAAAAATCAGTCATTATTTTGGAAAACACAAGCCCTTAGCTTTATCCCATAATTTAAAAGAAAAAGAGTACTTTATTGTCAAACTACAAACATCAGACACAAATATGACTGTTGTTACCTTGAAGATGTATGGTCCACATCCAGCAGTGGCTGGTTGAGATTGGTCAGGTCAAGATTATACTTTGTTTTATAATATTCAGCAAAGGTTTCATATTCAGGGGAAGGGAATTTACTGAGTGGAGTAAGATCAGTGTATACATCAGCTACATAGAATCGATGAGGCTGATCAAAATTTCGATATCTAAAAAAAAAAAAAAAAAAAATATTTTGGCATATGTAATAGCCTTAGAGTAAAGCTTGTGCTAAGTTCTTCATGTTCTAATGTGGTCAGGTGATAAACCGTTAAATAACTCGAAGTTTTTGGTTGGTGGGGTTTTTTGTTGTAGAAACTATTTGTTTAGCTAACTCAAATAACTAAATGAGAAATGTGCTATAAGATAAGGAAGAATAAAGTCAATCTATAATCTACAGAATTCCCTCTACAGAAACATTTACGTTAAATGCAGGATTTATGTCTTCAATATCTAATATAAAATCAAGCTCTGGACAGCAATCTCCAAGAGTAATGCTGCAAATGATAATTTCTTAATTCCAAACACCTAACAATTAAACTTGATAATTTGGCTTTTTAATGTTTAGTCTCCTGTGTGCTAAAATCCATAGAAATGGAGTTCTACTGCATACAAAGATTGTACTACCTTACATCTAAACTGGCATTTTAATCAAGTCATCCTCCGTAATAAAGTTAAAATACAAAACCCCAAATACCTAGTAAGGTAAATTCACAAGCCTCCCAAGGACAGTGCAGTTCTTGTAATACAGGCAGAATGTTACAAAAATAAAGCCAGAATGCTGCAACACCTTTACTGTGATACTATTGTGATCATTGGATACTATGGTGATAAACATGCACAGGAAAACAATAATAATAAAAAACCCTATGAAATCATAGAAATCAACATTCAATATTTAGATTTGCATATTAGCTTATTTCATACTTTGATCTGCTGCATTTATCATTTTAAGCTTCTATTCAAATATCTAAATAGACATAGCCAAATAAAATTACCGCACTATTAATGAGTCTTTTTAGCTTTCTTCCAAAGAGAAAAATCAAGAAAACCATATTCCCAGGCTGCCTGAGCTTCTTCATTGAAGAACATGCTGGTTAAAGGAGCTTTCAGGAATCTTTTTTTCTTATCTTATTCACAACCATGCCTACTCCGAAGAATTCAATCAGAACTGTACCAATACACAGTCACTGTATCATGCTTCCCCTGAGGAGCTCACAACCAAGCAGGACAGAGAACAACAAACATATTTCCACCATTTTTATGTTGACTGAAAACAGAAGTACTTGAAATTCTGAGATTTCTTAATGTATGAAACAAGGTCAAAAATTTTTGGCTTCTCCCAAGCCTGAACATTATCAGATGGTAACTAATAATTCTCACAGGAGATGTACTCAGCCACCTACCCCAGCCCCACCCCCATCCAAAAAGAAAAAAAAGAGAGAGAGAGAGAGGGAAGGGGGAGGAATAATACTGGTTTAGGCACTGTGGCCAGATCTTCAGACAGGTGAAATACCATAGCTTCACTGAAGTCCAGCAACTGTGCTAATTCACACCACCTACGAGCTATTTCTATTGCGTTAACTCTGATCACAATGAAGTAATGCTTATACACAGTGATGGTGCATCACCACTTTTACACTAGCATTTTTACTGCAGTAGTCATCAGCACAGGAGGAAGACATTTAAAGAAAAAAAAATTGTCTAACAGATGAGGCCAAAACAAAGTACTAATATTTATCTTTCATATATATTCTGCAACTACCGTTGTTTACAATATACTAGGTACAAGCACAAGCCAGTCAGTCCATTTTCTTTTTTCACATCATGCCAAACATGACATAGGGAATAATTAAATCTCCACAAAACCTACCAATTTTGGAGAACCTTTGCATATCCAGTACATAAAATGATGTAAATTTCTCCTCTAAATACCACTCAATAGAAAGATTCTTTTAACCGGTCTTTTTCACTTGTTAATTTTTCCATCTACCAACAGCATACCTTCCTTTAGCAGGCCTTTGTTGTGAATAAGCAGTAACCAGAGAAGAGGGCTCCCATTCAATCTTCCAAAGTAAAATTGGTTTCAATAGGCCAGTTCTTGATGAAGTCACAACATTTTATCAGAATACTATGTAAGTTTTGTGGTGAACTCTACTATTCCTAATAAAAAGGTAATGAGCCTTGGGAGGCCTAAACAGTTAAATCCTACTATGTAAGATTAACTACTCACTAAAAAATATCCTTAAATTATTTGAGACACCACCAGATACCTTCAGATTAATAGCATACATTTATTACAAGCAATTCTGTTGTGGATACTAACATCCCCTTATTCAAGTGTTTGTATAAATACAATAGGTACATACCTAAAGTATATACATAGTACTCACCGTGGAATGATAACCGCATCTTGGTAATCTTCTAACTTGAAAATAAAAGGCATTTCTTTTGTATATTGTGTACTGGGAATGCCTGTACGTGCCTCAGATTTCTCAATGTCTTCCATAAACTTAAAGTCAATGTCCAAAGTGCTGGAGTCATCAACTTAAAAAGGAAAATGCGTAACTCAGTTATTCAGGGGGGCGTTTTCTAGGCTGAACTTTTCTGGGAAGTTGTAAATTACAAAATTTGATTATTATTCTATACAGATATTTGATTAATTAAAAAAAATTCAAAGCAGACATACGTATGATTTTAAACCCTTATGGAGTCAGCTGAAACCTACTATAAATCAACTCATATAACCAAGTTAAAACTAATTTGGAATTGTGAAGAAGTAATAAAAATATAACTGACAAATTTTCATACCACCACATATGGTATTATTTCTACAGCTAACACCTGAGATTTAACATAAACATTAACAAATGTGTTGCTAAAGGAATTCAAAGTGAGTATTTAAAAAAACAAGAGCTCTGTTCTTACCAACATTAAGAGGTAGAACACAATAGGCTGAATCAGCTTCTGTGGGTTTGAACTCTAGTGCAGGTTTCTCAAGACGAAGAATATGTGAAAAAATGTACTGATGGAGTCGCGTTATCAGCTCAAGCATTTGCAGTGACAGCGTAAAACCAGATTTCTTAAGCTCAATAGATATTGTAACCTCTCCAGAGCGAGTATACACAGGAAAGTGAGGAATCTAAATAAGAAAAAAACAAAAGAAATCAAGAAAGAAAATCCAGAGTAGGATTCCTCTACAGAGTACCAGTTGTTTAGTTCTGATGCTGAGGTAGTGCTTGCTGGACTCCACAGCAAACTGGATCAAAATTCTGACATATGATGATCTTCAATTGAGATTTTGAAGGCTTAAGAAATGACTGATTTTATTTTTTTTTTTTTTTTTTAATAGTTCTCCTTATGTTTTACAGCTCTTCTCTTTATATAAGATCAAGTAAATATGGAAGTCTCTTCCATTATGGAGGAAGAAACGTGAAAACCAGCAACACTCCTCAGCTGAGTCTCATCCACAGAAAATGCCTTTCTATTAAAAATTTTCCTAAGCAAGAGGTGCCAATTTCAATTAACACGGCCTACTTTTTCCGCTGCTGCAGACTAGAAATGCTGAGAGGACTTGTTACCATAGCTTTCATATAGATAAAGTAGTGCTGCAGGCCATCTCTATAGCTGATATGCCACTCCTAATATACCTCATACAAAAAAGGAGGAACATTTTGAATTTGCCACTGCAAAATAATAAAAAATAAAATTGTAAAACAAAAGTTTGGCAAAAATAGAACAGATTGCTCCATCACTAAAGACAGAAAATGAAGCGGTGACTGGACTGCGTGGATTCCCACAGCATTCTCCTGGAGAAGCTGGCGTCTCACGGCTTAGACAGGTGAACTCTGCGCTGGGTAAAAAACTGGCTGGACGGCCGGGCCCAGAGAGTTGTGGTGAATGGAGTTGCATCCAGT